GAAGATCACAGTTAGTGGTGGGATTGAAATAACGTACTATTTGAAAATAGCTTTTAACGTTTTAATTTGTTACCAGCATAACAACGTTATTGAAATAACTTTTTCACCCTTGAATGTTAATAGATCACAGTTAGGAACGTGAGAACCACTCTTCGTTAGAGATGTGACTGTCCAGGAACAATCTATCACTGCTCCAACTGTTCTAGTGACACCATTGGAGCAGTGACAGAAGACTTCATATACATTATCTTATTTAATTTATGAATATATTAATATGGTATATATTATATTTATTAACTATCAGCCCTTTTGTCCATTAATTAATTAACACAGTAGATTTATAGCAAAAATACTTTTCATTACTTTAAATAATTAATCCCTTTATGGAATCAGGAAATTGTGCGCTTGTTGTAACTCTATTCGATATATTTTATAACGTTTTATTTTTAATAACGTTAAATTTAACAACGTATTTGTGCCATTTCCCTGCATTTATAGCGATTTTATATCGAAAAGTAAAATCGAAATTCACAAAAAGCATATTTCGAAAGTAAACCTATATTAAAAATACACTTAGTATATTTAAAATAAAACGTCGATATATATAAGTATACATAAACTATGTTTGTGAACATGACAATAATAATGTGATTTGTTTTGTCGAATCTCAATATCTACAATAAATAAATATATATTTAAAAGTCGAGAGCATAGTATTTTTAATTTAAATTTAAAATTTTATCTGTGTTTGATTATTAATTATTCACTTTCGTAACCGATTTATTCCATATTTTTTAAAATAATTTGATACTTGGCAATTGAGAAAACTCAGGCCGCTGTGACTCCAGTCATATTTAGGATTTACCGGTTCTCTGTCACTGATAATAAGACTTTTATCACTGTCACTGTTACTGGATCGGTAAGGTTGTCACTGTTCCAAACCGAGACTCTGTGAAACGTCACTGCTCCACCAGTACTGTCACCAGTACTTTTAGTTCTAAGCGTGATTAGGCGTTAGGTGTTCCATTACGTTATTATATTATTTGTGATTATCAAGGCGTGATTCCCGATCATGCTGAATAAGAATTTAGAGAGTGGGCTGAACCCACTTAGGTTTATATATTATATTATTTATGTTTATATTAATTTAATTAATATTAATTTATTGTCATTTAGTAGCTACTGACTTGTAGCCTGTTACCGAATTTTCACAGGATGGGCCAACCAAATCATCAGAGCCGCTCGCCACTTGTTAAAAAAAATAATACAAAACGTATTAAAATAAAACAATTTATTTTAGCCTATTAATAAAACAACTGTATTACAGAAATATTGAATGAAAAAAAAAAATCAAATAATGATTAATATAAAACCACTTAAGAAATAAATTTAATTTTTTAGGGAAGATGACGTCATTGCCTATAGGTGCCGAATGCTTAAGGCTGACACTGTTTCATAGTTTAGCTTATAATTAGTCACCGTCAGAGGATCACCGAATTCATTTTTTTTTTCTCGATGATTCTACACACACACATACACACACACACACAATTTGATTTGTATAAATAAAGTGTGTGTTGCGCGCACCAGATTTTTTTTCTTTAGTTATAACTACACGAGTAATGATTTAACAGTAGATTATAGCTTTTAAAATAAATATAAATAACCTTTATTTCAATTAACTTAAAACGGATAAAATCAAATTTTTTTATTTCGAATTTTTTATTCTTTGTACCCTCCTTGAAACGTAAAACCTCAAACTTTGAGTGCTGTTATCTGCACATACAATCTTGTCTCACCACGGCAACGCATTCTGGAATGATGAAGTTATAACTGAAACATTTTAATATTCAAAATTATATTAATAAGTGGTACAATTAAGTCTTGTCGAATAAAAAATCAAGTTCACAGCTTCAAAGCATTGTACAAACAAAATTGTTTGTCTAACTAACAAAATATTCATACCATAGTAAATTGTAACGTTGAAGCTATGTATCAAACCCACGATATATATCTGTATATACTGTATGAGTATTTGTTTTCTTTTCTGTTCCGATGATGCCAAATTTGGCGAAACGTTGACAGCTTATTTTGTTCTTTCCTGCATTTTAGAGGCAGAAGTATATCATCAGTTTATTGCAAAAGATTAACAAAAGAATTTTAGATTTAGATTATAGTCCGTGGTAAAGATCCCTTTTTGATAAATTATTAACATACGTCAAAAACTTTGTAAATAGTTTCATCTCATCGTAGCCTAGAAATATTTTAATTACGAAAATTTTCGGAATTGGGTCATTTTCAATCTCGAGATCGGCAAACTTTGTCTATTTAATTAGGTACTAAAAACCAATGAATACCAAATTTCTGATAGTATGATCAGAAAATCGAAAAAAATGTGGTTTTCGAAAAATATTGGGCTGCTTAGGCTCTATAACCTCGTTATTTTGACACTTTGGGGATGAAGGTCACGTCCAATATTTTCGTAGCCCACTTTTTTTTCGACTTTGTGATTATATTATTTTACAATTCAAATGGAAAGCAAATGGGTATACATGGGTTTTTTGATACCTAATTAAATAGACAAAAGTTTGCCAGATTGAATACGCACTATTTCCGAAAATTTTTGTAAGTAAAATATTTGTACATCATGATGAGATTTAAACTAGTTACAAAGTTTTAGGAGGATGTTAATAATTTGGAAAAAAAAAACAGGTCTATTCCTGATCGCAAAATCGAGAAAAAAGGTGGCCTTCTAGAATATTGAGCCGTTTGGCGTGACCAACACCTCCACAATTTTAAAATAACGAGGTTATATAGGATGAACGGCCTTTTTATTTTAATATTTTTTTGGCCATTTTTGAAATCTATTTCTTTATCAAATTATCTTACGATCCAAGTGGAAAGCAAATGTGTATTTACGAGTTTTTATTACCTAATTAATTAGAAAAAGTTTGCCCCCCTCCAGGTTGAAAACGCCCCAACTCCAAGAGTTTTCGTAAATAAAATAGTTGTAGATAACGATTAGATGAAACTATTTACTAAATTTTAGGTGGATGTTAATAACTCAAAAAACTCACGAATACCCATTTGCTTTCCACTTGAATTGTAAAATAATGTAATCACAAAGTAGAAAACAAAGTGGCCTAAAAAAATATTGGCCCGTTTGGCGTGACCTTCACCCCTAAAGTGCCAAAATAACGAGGTTATAGAGCCTAAACGGCCCAATATTTTTCGTAGACCACCTTTTTTTTCGATTTTCTGATCATATTATCTTACGGTATAAATGGAAAGCAAATTGTTATTCATTGGTTTTGAGTGCCTAATTAAATATAATCCGTGACACAGATCGCTTTTTGTCGAATTATTAACATCCACCTAAAATTTAGTAAATAGTTTCATCTAATCGTTATCTACAACTATTTTATTTACGAAAACTCTTGGAGTTGGGGCGTTTTCAACCTGAAGGGGGGCAAACTTTTTCTAATTAATTAGGTACTAAAAACTCGTAAATACACATTTGCTTTCTACTTGGATCGTAAGATAATTTGATAACGAAATAGATTTCAAAAATGGCCGAAAAAATATTAAAATAAAAAGGCCGTTCATCCTATATAACCTCGTTATTTTAAAATTTTGGAGGTGTAGGTCACGCCAAACGGCTCAATATTCTAGAAGGCCACCTTTTTTCTCATGATATCAGAGATATAGTGGGTGACAATATAGTTAAATATCAAGTATTATATATAGAAGATACAAACAAAAAATGGAAAATAAGTATGAATAAAAAAAGAAAACAAAGGAATATATAGCATGTAAGTTAAAAGTAAACAGATTGCGGTAAAAGATAAGGAATGATGAGTGTATAATAAACTAATAAAGATTACATTTGATAACTGTAGGTTAATAGATGAAGAAAATGAATGTTAACAAATAAAGAGATTGAAAATTGAATAAGTATTGAAATAGTAAACCTAAAATAAGAATAAGATAACATAATAATAAGATATCAGTGGATAACAAGCAAGTGGAGGTTACATTTGACAACTGTAGGTAAACAGATAACGGGATTAGATTTATCCTAGTAATGTTAGCCTATTTTCCTGTTATACTTATTTTCCATCTATTACTACATAATCTAGTTATAATTCATTTATTTTATTTTTACCATGTGCCACAGGCGGATCTACAGGGGCAGGGGTTTTCGGGCTGAAGCCCTCCCAAAATGGTAAAATATAACCATGTTTTACAGAAAAAAATATTAAAAACTATCTCTTAACGTATTCTTGTTCCTGTAATTACATTTAATAGGACTTCAGGAACCACTTATACACCATTTCTTGTAGGTAGTTAATTTATTTTTTTTTTCAAATTAATTATCGTTATATGTATATGAAAAAAAAAATCATTTGTGCTGAAGCCCCAACCCAAAATTAAACCCTGGAGCCGCTAGTGCCATGTACCTTTGATATTTTGTGTCTTTTGTAGCCTTGATGAAGACCTGCAAAGCGAATCGAAACGTCGCCATAATAATTAAATAATACTATTTCTATAATTTATTATTTATTTCACCGCAACTCCCGAACAACTCCTTCTTAAGTTACTTAATAACGTTTTACAATATATTTGGTAATATTTTTCAAATTAATAACCTAACGATAAATAATAAGTATTAAGCATCCCGGAAAAGATTGAATACTGGACCAAAATGTTTATCAAATAACAGGTTTATTTTTGTCTTTTTTTATAGGGGTCGTTGAGAACAACATAATTGTCCTTCTGCAACTCTTCCCCCTCGAGCTGTCAGAACCTGGGATGTTGGCCAAGAATAAGGGCTGTATATTGGCTACAGATAATCCCTCAGGACCTAAAAATAAAAAAAAAAAGTAAGGGACAAACAGAAATAGCCCTGTATGGAAGATATCGAGGGATGTAAATTTATCTAGAAGGTAAGAAAGTGGTGGGGGGCACACGTGATGTGCAACGTGATTCGGTGCCCCCCGACCAAATCCAGCCCGGCTTTTCCCATCCAGTGTTGTTTCTTCTCCCGTCCAGTTTGTTCTTCGCCTGTCCGAACTCCTTCTTATCTTATCTACACAAACTGTAAGTACATTTTCTTATTAATCTCTATAATTATTGTTATTAAAATAATTTAACTATTTAGCTATAAACAACAATAAGTAACAACTATAAAGTCATCATCAATAACAACCTTAATTAACTGATAATAATTAAGTTTTGAATTTATATTTTAATTCGATCAGCTGACTCTTCCGATCAGCTGACGCAATCAAAATGGAGGTCAAGGTATCCCATTGTTCTTATCAGTTTGGTGTTTATTTATTTTCAGTTTTCCTGCATTTTGTTGTTTTTTTTTAAACTAAACAAATACAAACTTTAATTTATCAATAAATTTAAATTAAATAAACTTTAAGACGTTCTCAACAACAACAATTAAAAGTCATTAACTTTTTGCCACACTTTATTACCTTCTACTACCTTATATGTTAGATATTAATTTAAAATAAATTAAAGATATTTTGTGAATTCGTAATTTAAGATCTATGGTTAATACCTAAATTTTAATGTGAATACTACTCTACGCATGTTAAATCAAAGACCCGAGTTAAAAAAAAAATCGTCATAACTCAGTTTTATATTTTAAATGTTTAATTTCATAATTGTAATAAGAGGGTTTAATGTGGATGTGTTGTTTAATTAATTATATACTATTGATTAATAATGTAATTAAACTAATTATAAGAAATGTTATAGATTATACTTGTTGATGGCATGTTTGGCCGAAACGTTGATGGTGAAGGTCACTCACTATATATTTATTATGTAACTTTTTTTTGTTTTTGAGCTGGGCTGTTTTCTTAAATATACAAACACAGAATATATTGCGAAAAGGTTATTTGAACTCAGAGGGCTTAAAACGTGTACCATATTAACGTTACGCTTCCCATAAAGACGTCCTTGCTCGATGCTCTATTTTGTGTGTATTAAAATAATTGTTAATTTCTACTATTATTCACTATCTTTTTTTCTATTCACGTTTTCCTAATTGCTACTATTCACTTGAAGAAAACAACCATGTCAACTTGGAAACATTTACCAGGGTGGGAGGGGATAATTTTGAGCTGAAGGCCTATAATAAGTAGTTAGGAAATCAGTCAAAATATTTTATTATGTAAGATGACGCTTTGACCTCAGTTTGTGGGTCATCTCCAGGGCTGATGTTATATCGATAATATAAAAATGTAAACATGTGTATTATATGATTGTCACTACTAAACATAAAGGGGTATCCAGAAAGGGGTTTCATGGCGCAAGTTTTTCCATCAAAATATTTGAGGGGGGGGCACATTTTGACGGGATTTTGAATTTTCAAATCAAAAATTTGAAATTTCAAAAAAAAAAAAATTCCAATCAGGGAACTAGAAAAAATGGAGCAGATCACAGAAAGTGTAATGGTATATAATCTACAATTTTTCTAGTTCCATTTTCGCTTGCACTGTTTTTAAGAGGAGTAGAGCAATAACATTCCTTAGGACTGGGGGAAACAGTTCATGCGCCATTGACCTTGGGGGGATGGGCATCCCTGTATATACATACCTATATATCTCTGATTTAATTTCCGATTTACAATTTACTGATTACAAAACACAAGCTTTAGTCAAACAGTGAAGGTTACATAATACGATATTTAACGTATTCTCTAATTACTTATTATTCAAAAGAATTGTGTTTACTTTTTGATTTTTGTTTATTAGCTAACCGATCCCCAAGGTATTATCTGAAACGATTTTGCTATAAGTAGTATTATAACTAGAGCAGAAAGATTGGGTTAATTTTGAAACAACTTTTAGTTTTTTTATTTCTCCGCCCCCTGGATAATTATGTTTGACATAGGTGCCGGGAAAGGGACAAAGCAATTTGTGCTTCTCCCTCTAATATTTTATGGAAGGGAGCTGAGTTTCACCGGCTTTCCAAATTTTCATAGTCCTTTACTTAAAAAATATACAAAAGTTCAATAGACCATACAAGTAATAACTATCATGGGTGATAACTATTCAGGACGCAGTCATTATAAGGTTTTTATTAGTGCCGACGTTTCAACCCAAACATGTGGGTCATCATCAGGGCGTGGTTCGAGCACTGAAGATATTCTAGTACAGTACTTGAATATCTTCACTGTTCGAACCCTGATGATGACCCACATGTTGGGTTGAAACGTCGGCACCCATGATATGTAGAACAGCCGATGAACTTCTTTCAAGTAATAACTATATTATATTACAGGTAATAAATCGTTGAATGGAACTTTATGTATGCCGTTTGGCTAGTCTTGGTCCCACAATATTTACTATGTACCGGCGCTAATGATAGTTGAGATTTGAAATGTCTAAGGTCTTGATATATATGTTAAGCCGTAACTTTATCATTCTCGAGTCTAGCGTCGCCTATTCGAATCTTGCCTAAACGGTTGAAATTTGTTTCTTCGCGGCACCCCTCCCCTCCCCCAAATGAAACTCGACCTTCCTAATCTGCTTAGAATAGAATCCTTAGAAAATGGCGAGTTAGGGAGTAATCGAGGGAAAACAAAAGGTTGAGATTTGATATTGTTGGACACATTATTTTGTAGTGGTTTTATATTTATTTGAGGTAATTACTCATTTAAGCTTGATATATCTACGGAATCCAACTTAGGCAGAAATGAGTGGAAGTAACTGTTTACTACTTCAGGGATCTCCGTATTCCCAAGATTGATAGCGCGTGCTGTCTCCCAAGAAATTTTATTGTTATCCTCTTCATAAAAACAATGCAAACGAAAATATGACCAGAAACAACTTAGATTATATACAATTACACTTGCTGTGATGTAGTCTATATTTTTAAAGGAAGGTCCGGAGTTGCGGTCATAAATAGGCTAAATAGTGGTAAAACTATTTTATTGAAAGCCGACGTTTCGACCCGAGTTTGCAGGTCTTCTTCAGGGAGGTGTGTTCAGCTAGGAGTTTCACTTAGAACTGAAACTCAGTTCTAAGTCACTCGGTTTTATGTTCACTTCAGTTCTAAGTGAAACTCCTAGCTGAACACACCTCCCTGAAGAAGACCTGCAAAGTCGGATGGAAACGTCGGCTTTCAATAAAATAGTTTTGCCACTATTTAGCCTATTTATGACCGCCACCCCGGAACATCTTCTTCCTTTTATTATGCAACGGTCAACTATTAAATATCCAATAAGTCTATATTTTTCTTCTTATTCCCAAATCGAAAGTGCCTCCTAAAATTGGAACCTCACATAAATATGTTTTCGTCCAAAAATTTATAACCCTGAAATTTATAAAATTAATAAAATTTATAACGAAACTTGCCCAAAATTTTGGTTTAAATTAATATAAATTAATTAAAATTATAAAATTTATAACGAAACTTGCCCAAAATTTTGATTTGGCGCGACTTTTGCCATACAATTCCTTCTGGCCACCTCTAGCGGGCTAACGCGCTTGCAATGCATTCGTTGCCTGGCAACCTGATAAATTGATTGCGAGATGTGTTATAATTATAATTATTATATAATTTGACTCTGGTATCAATACCCCGCCCTCTCCCCTATTAGGAGAAGAACCTCGTATAGACGATAATGCGAGATAGGGGAGAAAAATAAAAAAAAATATAGAAGGTACTTCAAATTCTATATCTTATACTACTTCAACATGTTTAAAGATGTTTAAAGATCTGCTGAGTCCAAATAATCAAATCTCACAGAATAGTCTTTGTGTAAATACCATACATTAGCTCAAAAATGAAAAGTTGTGTTGAAATGAAATTACGTAAACTTAACTTTGTTACCTCATAGAAGTTTGGATAAAACTTTGAATAAAATACTTGGTAATTGCCCGTTTTTCGCATTATTACCTGCATTATAATTATTATTATTCGCATTATTACCTGCATTATAATTATTATTATTCGCATTATTACCTGCATTATGCCCTGATGATGAACCACATGCTGGGTTTGAAATGTTGGCACCAATAAAAAACTACATAACCACTGCGTCCTGAGTATTTATCACCCATGATATATACTATATATGACTGATTGATGATATATGAGTGATCCTTCACTAAGCGAAAAAAGTAAACGGAATTTGATAAAAGCTATATTGGACCATCGGGGTATCAACTGTTACAATTCCTGAAAATTTAATCAAATTCTATAGGGGACCCTACACGGTCAATCGGAATTGCACTAATGACGTTCCGAATTGTCGTGTAAGGTAGTGAATGAAGTACTGATGGTGGTGCGCTGCAGATTTCCGAACATCCGGAAATCAAAGGTTCATTCACGAGAAGTGGAGGGGGGACTGAGGTAAAAGTAGTGGGGAGACTAACCATACTGCTGGATAGGTTAGGTTACCTAGGCCTCACAACCATTATAAATTTCTGATTTTCATTATATGTAAATAGTTAAATAATTTTTCATATACCTTGTTTATAATTTTAAACCATCTTCAACTATTTCTTTTAAATAGTCAAGTGGGCAACAAATTAAAAAAAAAAAAATGAGGAAACTTCACAATTTACTTTAGGAAAAAAAAAACTTTAACGTTGTGTATATTTATTTATCAGTTCTTTTCCCATTTTCCTCAACAAATTTATTATTTTCGCAATACCCTTCCTCAATTTTTTGTATGTAGTAGACTTATATTTTACTAACTTTAGTCAAAACGATTCTCTATGAGACTAACCTAACTACTAGATAGGTTAGTTTGCCTAGGTCTCGTTATTAAGTAAATAATTTCATAAAAGTAAATAGTTGTTTATATCCCTAGTCTATATTATTATTAACCATTTTCAACTATTTTTCTTTAAATAGTCAAGTAGGCAATAAATAGGAGAGAAAAAAAAGTGGAAACTTCACAATTTACTTATAGAAAAAAAATCTTTAACTGTTGTGTTTATTTGCCATTAATTTTTCCATTTTTCTTAACAAATTGATTATTTTCGCAATACTTTTCCTAGATTTTTGTATGTAGTTGACTTATATTTTTCTAACTTTGGTCTAAACGATTTTCAGTCTCTAGGAAGTAA